CAAGTGCCCGTCAAAGCTGTCTGGCCTGGAACTCAAGCAGCTGCTGGGGCCAGAACTCAGGGGGCACCAATGTGACTTCCAGCCTCCATCGCCCCTCCTCCCGCAGCTGGCTCTGCCGCGGTTCTGAACCAGGCTGCTCAGCAGCTGGAGTAGAGAAGGGGCAAAAGGACATGGGGGAAGCAGGAGCGTTTCAGAAGCCAGCCACAAGAGGGGGAACAGGAAAATCCCTAAGAAAAAGCATCCGACCTCTGCCCCCTGCTCTGTCACAGACTTTCTTGGGCAAGTCACTCAGTCTCTCTGGGTGATGTGCTTCAGTTCTCCCGTCCAGGAAGTGGGGCTGGGGGCGCTTCCCGACCATGCGTGAGCCTTGGGAGAACTACACTGAAGATTAGGAAGATGCTCAGATACTGGAGTAATGGGGCGCAGGATATTAGCACCATTGTTTGGTATGGAGTCTGTTTGGAAAGAAAACAGTTCCCTAAAGTCTGAAAACATCCGTGTTCAGAGATAACGTTCTAAAATATGTCATGGAGCAGAGCGGTTTTCCCCCGTGTAGCCAGCCCCTCAACCTCGTGCCAGCCCCCGCTCTGACCTCAATCCGGCCCTTCTTCCTTCCCCCCAACCATCAAACCCCGCCTCCCCCATGGCTCCCCTTAAACTCCAAAATCGTATCGGGAGGGAAAATAATATAGAACATTACCAAAGACTTACCCCTTATAATAATAAATGATACGTTACTAATACATTAACCTTTGTGAGCTTGTACACACTACTCTTTCTCAGTCTGTGCAGTTAATACCCAATGTACCGTTATTAACAAGAAAAAAAGAGATTACTCAACGATAGACAGAGTCACTTCCTCCCTTTGGCTGTAAGTCCAGCTCCACTCTCCTTAGATTTGATGTTCCTGTGGCTCTACCTCTTTGCACCCAGTTTATCCACAAGCGAGATTTCCTCATGTAGCGGGCCCTCGCTTTTCCATTAGACACCTTTGAACTGTATTCGTCAATAGACATTCAAACAGTCATTCTCTGTGTTCATTTACTTTGGGTCCTTAGTGGGTGGGCTTCTTGTTTACGGTTTTCATCTAACACAGCTTTTTGATCAATTCCCTTTTTCACCAACTATATTTCCTTTCAGTTTTTGCCCTTGATACTCTCTCTCTCTCTCTCTCTGGTACATCTGTAGATTTTATTTCCCTCTCATTCCCTTCTCTAATGGTGTCTGCTCACATTCACAGTTCTATTTTTTTTCTGCTTCTCCTGACTTGAAATCTTCCCTATTTTTCTTCTTTCCTCTTTTTCACTTCCCAGTTACCTACTTCTAGTCTCCAGTTCTTCTTCTATTTTATCACCTCCCTCACCTCCTACCCCAGCATTGGTTCATCTGCTAGCTCAACATCTCCATTCTTCTCTTCCCTCCCTCTTCGCTCACAGCTTTTTCCAACTGCCACCTTTGGGCGGATTGTGAATCCCCTCTCACCGGCTGTCTCTCTCCCTGGGAACACCATTCTATGCTGCTGCCTCACAGCCACAGCAGGCGCTAGTGCCAGTGTCAGAAACAGCTACCCATTGGAAGTAGCTCCTGGCAGCAGTTTCTGGCAGTATGCGTATCAGGTAGGGCTTGTGATTAATGTGCATAAGTCTTGTCAAGTAGTGTCAGGCTAAGCAGTTTTAGGCCTCAATCTTCTGGAAGTTGTAAGAAGCGAGTACAGTTGAATCCTGCAAGGATAAGCATAATCTAGCTAGGAAGCTTTATAGACTAAAAAGGAAACTCTGTAAAGGTAGATACAGACTTGTGGTTACTATGATCTGCAACCAAATACCTCTTTAAGCTAACTCAAGCATTTTTTAGTCTAGAAAATTGACCACAATTAGCCGCATAGCGTAGAGATGAGAAGAGCACAGGTGCACAGTTCATAAATTCAAAACAACCGCAAATACCACACTGAAACATTTGGCCACCTTCATTGGTTGACCTGTTTTGAAACACGGCCAGCAAATACCGTATAAAAGAGGTGCAAAGACGCAAGTGTGTGTTGACCTAAAAGAGATCACTCTTTGTCAGGTTCACATACACCCCCTGAACCAAAGGGACTTGCGCTTCACTGACTATCTGTGCCTGGCCAATGCAGGAAATGATCAACTGAAGGTAATGTATCTTTGGAAAAACGCAGGGTAAGGCTTTGGAGTGAAGAGGTCTGGTTGTGCTCGAGCTAGTTAATCTTAAGTCTGTATTAATACTATAGTTTAATTATATTAGTAAATTGGTTAAGTTGTTTAAAAATAGTAGTAGTCAATAGTTAATCAATATATAGTAACTGTATATGTTTTGTGCCTTGCTGGAAGCAGGTACAGCGCTGGTGAAGCTAGTAATTTATCAACCATAATAGCTTTACAAGTCGCTGTGCCTGTCTTCACTATAAGATCAATAAAAGTTTATAAGTTGTTATATAAGGTTATAGGTAGGTTAAGGTTAGTAAAATATAGTTAATCAATGTATTAGTATTGCATATAGAATTGTATTTGTTGAGGGTGGTTACAGTACATGTGAAGTTGCTACGGAATCAGTAATAGTAGCGTTGCATGTGCTTGTGACTATTTTCAGTATTATTTACCTTTTATATGTGCACTTATAGGAATAGGTAGTTAATGCATAATATTACTTGTACTTGTGCTTGTCTCTAGTATAACTTGCCATTTGTATTAATCTTCACTCAGTGCTGGTCTTTAATTCTGTTTTTCTTATTCTGTCTATGTTGCCATTATGGTCATAAGTCATTAAAAATCTTTCTTGAGGAATAATTAGTTGTTTAGTTTCTCTTTTGCGGACACTACTCAACCTCATTACATCTGGGTTGGGTGGTGGGAACTAGCGATCACCCAGATCCCCACTAGGGCCCTGACGTGAGCCCCCCTAGGGCTCTGACGTGTGCCTCCTCCTTCCATTAATCTCCACAGGGCTGTCAAGCAATTAAAAAAAATAATTGCGATTAATTGCGCTGTTAAACAACAATAGAATACCATTTATTTAAAATATTTTTGGATGTTTACTACATTTTAAAATATATGAATTTCAAATACAACACAGAATACAAAGTGTACAGTGCTCACTTTATATTTATTTTTTATTACAAATATTTGCACTGTAAAAAACAAATAAAAATATTTTTCAACTCACCTCATACAAGTACTGTAGTGCAATCTCTTTATCATGAAAGTTGAACTTACCAATGTAGAATTATGTACCAAAAAAACTGCATTCAAAAATAAAACAACGTAAAACTTTAGAGCCTACAAGTCCACTCAGTCCTACTTCTTGGGCAGCTAATCACTCAGACAAACAAGGCTGGTTATAATTTGCAGGAGATAATGCTGCCTGCTTCTTGTTTACAATGAGTGAGAACAGGCATTCACATGGCACTATTGTATCTGGCGTTGCAAGATATTTATGTGCCAGATGCACTAAAGATTCATATGTCCCCTCGTGCTTCAACCACCATTCCAGAGGACATGCTTCCATGCTGATGACGGGTTCAACTTAATAATGATACAAAGCAGTCCAGACTGATGCATGTTCATTTTCATCATCTGAGTCAGATGCTACCAGCAGAAGGTTCATTTTCTTTTTTGGTGGTTTGGGTTCTGTAGTTTCCAAATCAGAGTGTTGCTCTTTCAAGACTTCTAAAAGCATGCTCCACACCTCATCCCTCTCCGATATTGGATGACATTTCAGATTCTTAATCCTTGAGTTGAATGCTGTAGCTATTTTTAGAAATCTCACATCGGTACCTTCTTTGCATTTTGTCAAATCTGCTGTGAAAGTGTTCTTAAAACTAATATATGCTGGGTCATCATCTAAGACTGCTATAACACGAAATATATGCAGAATGCAGGTAAAACAGAGCAGGAGACATACAATTCTCCCCCCAATGAATACAGTCACAAATATAATTGATGCATTATTTTTTTAACGAGCATCATCAGCATAGAAGCATGTCCTCTGGAATGGTGGCCGAAGCACGGAAGGGGCATAAGAATGTTTATCATGTCTGGCATGTAAATACCTTGCAACGCTGGCTACAAAAGTGCCATACGAACGCCTGTTCTCACTTTCAGGTGACATTGTAAATAAGAAGCAGGCTGCAGTATCTCCCATCAATGTAAACAAACTTGTTTGTCTTAGCAACTGGCAGAATAAGAAGTAAGACTGAATGGATTTGTAGGCTCTAAAGTTTTGCACTGTTTTGTTTTTGAGTGCAGTTATGTAACGAAAAAAAATCTGCATTTGTAAGTTACACTTTGACAATAAAGAGATTGTGCTTCAGTACTTGTATGAGGTGAATTGAAAAATACTATTTCTTTTGTTTATCATTTTTACAGTGCATATATTTGTAATAAAAAATAATAATATAAAGTGAGCACTGTGCACTTTGTATTCTGTGTTGTAATTGAAATCAATATTGAAAATGTAGAAAAACATCCAAAAATATTTAATAAATTTCAATTGGTATTTTATTGTTATAAGTGCAATTAATGATGATTAATTCTTTTGAGTTAATTGCGTGAGTTAACTGGGATTAATTGACAGCCCTAGTATCAGGGTTTGTGTGCTTCGCTATCAGAATGAGCTGCCCTCCCAGCTTTCTCCCATGGGTAGCTCATTCTGACGGGTGGGGTTGCTGTAAGGTCTAACTCTGAAGTATGCATACCCCTGACAGGCTTCTTTAAATAATTTTATAAGATACAGTATAGATACACCAGCATATACCTGTATATTTCAACCTTAATTCAAAACCCAGCCCATATATTAATTTAAAGATAGGCGCATAGAGACTAGTTTTATAGTTTATGGCTACTTGCAGCTTGGATCCCTCCTGCACGATCTCCTTAATTGTGCCCTTTTTTTAGTCTTGCGCCTCCAGACGGAGAGAGCCCCGCCCCCTGCCCAGTCAGTACTGCTGCATCCGGGTTGGTGCTGACGGCGCAGGAAGCGGCTGCAGCAGCTGAGAGCAGGGGCGGGTCACTGGGAGGAGGGAGGCCGGAACCGGGGAGGACAAAGGCAGATCGATACTGCGCAACCCCGCCCAGGCTCAGCACGGGACGCTGCTGCCTTCGTGTGATCTGGGAGCCCGAGCTGAGCCACTGCTGCTTCCCCGGGTCCTCCTGTCCTTTCCCTGCTGCCTCCTGTGCCCAGCCTGCGGTGAGGGGGGAGTTTCTCCAGCGGGAACCAGCCCCGGGCTCTGCCGACCCCAGCCCCTGTGCCGGAGACTCCAGGTGAGAGAGGCCTCGGGGACAGCGCTGGGAGCGGCAGGAAGGTGAGTCTCTAGCTCTGAGGCACTCGGAGCTCGCAACCGGGGATCTTCTTCTCGGTAACTGTTAGTGCCCTTGCGGGCAGGGTCGGAGCTGGGTTAGCCTCAGCGAAGCTGCTTCCCTGGTTCTGCACCTAGCTCCTGTCCGGGTCTGCAGGGCCATTAAAGTGGGGAGGATCGGGGCGGGGAAAGAGAGTGGGCCCCAGTGGGTTTGGAAGGGAGGAAAATAAGCCAGCGATGGGGGGACGGGAGAGAGAGGACGCAATGGAATAAACTGAGCACTCTCCGCAGGCAGGAAGTGCCCGGGGAGAACAGCAGGTGATGGGGGAAGGGCTCCTCTGTTCTCTCCCCCGCCCTTATCAAGTATGGCTGTAACCTCCATGCAGATCCCCCTGCTCTCGAACGACTAGGGTGACTAGATGTCCCGATTTTATAGGGACAGTCCCAATATTCAGGGCTTTGTCTTGTATAGGCTCTTATTACCCCCTATCCCGTCATGATTTTTCACACTGGCTATCTGGTCACCCTATGCATGACTGATCCTTTAGCAGGGGTGAAAGTGCCTCCAGACTTACCGGTAAGGGCTGGGGCCAACTCTGGCCCCTGGAAGGGGCAGGGGCTTGGGTGGAAGGGGTGGGGCTGGGGGTCAGCATCCCCCAGCTAGCCCTTCCAGGCTGCCTGACCCGCATGGCCCAGGGCTCCAGTTGCAATTTAAAGGGGCCGTGGTAGTGGCGTCCAGAGCCCTGGGCCCTTTTAAATCACCGGCCCCGGGAAAGCTGCTCCCTTTGCCCCCCCCACCCCCATCGTGGCCAAGGGGGGGCAAAAGGGGGAGGGACATTAAAGTGCTGCCGGGTACTTTGTGGTGGCAGCACTTTAATGTTGCTGCCCGCCCCCCATTGGTACGGTACAGACCCTACCAGCAGGGCTGCCAATGGGGGAGGCAAAAGGGGCAGAGACATTAAAACACTGCCGCAGCAGCACTTTTAATATGGGCTGCATATGGGCAGGTGCAGGTTCTTACCAGAACGCTGTACTGGGCCCGTACCGTCTCACTTTCACCCCTGCCCTTTAGCCAATGTTGCCCCATTTTCTCTCTCCTCCTCAAATGTCAGTTTAAATTCTCACCTGAGTTGAGCTGTTTTTCCACCCATTTTATCTGCGGCACTTTGCCCTCGCTTAAGTGGAAAATTGTTGCCCTGAGTCATTCCCCAAATGGGAAGGGGGTTGGTGAGTAGTGGTGGGGAGAGCCTGAGACACGCTGCCTCTGGGGTGGGGAGAGGGTGGCCAGTTTTTGCCATTAACAGGGCATGGAAGGGACACAGCAATGGAAGGCAGGAGCAAGTTTCTCCAATGGAGTATCTGCTCTGAGCTGCTGCCCCTCCCCGCTATCCACCCCCCACCTTCCCCTATCTTTGTCCCCCTCCCCAGGGCCAGGGAGCCTGCCTGCTCCACACCCATCTCCAAAGCAACTTTGCAAAGGGTCCTGCTGCCTAGGTGAATGGTGGTGAGAAACCACTACTTTTTCTGTGGTTATTGAACATCCATACACAGTCCTCTCAAACTTTCCCTCTAATTATTAAATATCCCCCAGAGCTTGGTGCTTTCCTCTCCTATTATCAGATATTTAGTTTTTAACCCTTTTTCTCCCCAATTCTCAAAGACTAAGATAAAAGTACCCTAAACTCTGCCCCATTTTCTCTCTCATTACACTGCTCTAC